AAAAGAACCAAATACACCCACCCACCAGAATATATATTCATTTAGGACTGTAGATTAAATTCAGTGCTTTTGTGCATCCATAAAAAGTAATGTGTGTGTGTGTGTGTGTGTGTGTATATATATATTAAAAAAAAACAAAAAAAGGTAAACTGAAGAAAGTTATTGTCAGTGATTCTGGGTGTCTGATAAAGTCAGCGGCGTCACATTACATGCATATGACCTCATGCGCCGTCCTCTAGGAAGCAGCTTATACTGCCGGTTAGTAAAAAACTCGTGTTCCATTTGAGATGATATTACCTTTCTAAACTTCATACACTAGACTGTAGAGTATATTGTGCATAGTGTAAGTGTATAGTACGTCATTTGGGTCACAACTTTAGTATTTACTCTCCGAAGTGTGTTTTCGGTACATAAGTAACGTAGTGAGTAAACGCACCACATGTCGCGCGCAGACTGACTAACTGATGAGGAGATTCTTTGACAACAATTTTCATAATCGATTATTATTGATTGGTTGTGGCAGCTCTAATGCAAGTATTCTAAGAATTACAAATATTCATTTTTGGTTTACAACCTTTGAGTCATTCTTGAATGGTTCAACTGCGTGTGTGTGTGTGTGTGTGTGTGTGTGTGTGTGTATTTATATATGTATATGTATAATTTTTCCCTCTGTAATCTCTATTGCACTAATCTCTAATGCAAGTTATTTGACACCCTGTTCGGACACGGTGCAGAAGAATGACTCCAAAAGGCACGGAAGAACGAGCAGCTGCTCGACTGGCGTTCTGAGCCTGATCACGCAGAGCTCACTGAAACGAGACTCCAGGCGGAAATCGTGGAAAAAGGAGATGAAAACCAGGAGCTCTTTTCTTGCGTGTCAGCCGCCCTGGGCGTTCACCTGGGGTTAAAAGGAGTAAATTTAGCCTGCCAATTAAGAGCAATTAGCCGCCAAGAGACCTGCAGAGCTTTTTGGCATGTAAAGTATGCAGCTGAGAGTGTGCGGATAATGAAACGGAAATCGTTGGGCGTGTGTGTGTGTGTGTGTGCATATGTTGGTTGGTGTATATAAGACTAAGCCTGAAATAAATTTAAAGTGCTTCGAAATATCAATCTAGCATTATTTTTCAACTCTGATACATTTTGCTGCATTATGTTGTATTAGTGAGAGAGAGATTCCTTGACTCTGTGTGTGTGTGTGTGTGTGTGAGAGAGTGAGCGAGAGACGGGGGGTGTGTGTGTGTGAAGATCAGGAATCAGAAAGCTAAGCATGCATAATGAGAGTGTGATCATTTCCCCCGTGTCCCATTCGTGTCCCTCAGTTCTCCTCTAATGAACTCCATTAAACAGGGGTTCTAACCCCTGCACAATGATTAAATGGGCCATTCCATATCAGGACCTTGGATCTCAGCGATATTAGAGCCACAGCCTCAACAAAGTCCTATATAAAGGAAGGCTATGTTCTTTTATAAGTTTAATTAGATGCAAACTTGTCTAGAAATTCCACCTTTTAAATTTAGATGCTATCGAAACTTGAAACTAAAGTGCTGGTGGTTATCAGAGAAATAACAAATCTAAAAACGACATTCAAATCCTTACTTTTATGCTCCTCAGATCCATTGTATATCCAGGATATACTGTAATCAGGATGTTCTACCTTCTATTACAAATGTTCAATACACACATTCCTGTCAGTGTTTTCGTTGCATACTTGTTTTCTCTTACACTGAGTTTTCAGTCAAAATTAATTATTGTTTAGGAAGTATTTCAAAGAACCCCCGCCCCCCAGGTTGTGGATGTTCCAGTTGAAAAATTTTGTCCCAATATGGACACAATTGACTTGTAATTGGCCTTCATCTGTGAAATATTAAAACAGGCCCGTTGAACTGCCATTGTCTACATTTACATGCACAGAATATTCCTATATTGATCAGAATTTGGCAATATTGAGTCATGAGAACGCTGCAATCCGATCTCCTGCCTGATTTCAGATTAAGACAATGTTCTGACTCCCTCCCCTGGATTATTCCTGTTTTAATCGGACATTTGTTGTATGCAAACACCTTATACAGAAAATCCACTGAAAGGAGATGTATGCAGTCCGCAAGGAATTGTGGTTACTAACAGATGCTCACCTCTAGGCTAGATATTTACTAATGGCAACTCGGGCATACTTACAGTACAACAACCATGTATACAGGAACATTCCGATGCCTGTACTCCTATAAAGATCATATTCGGATTACGGCTGCAACCCGAATTATAGACCTTAAACGGAATTTGACGTGCATGTAAACACAGGCCTAGTCACTGAAAACAAGGAGCATTCTATGAAAGTGGTAGGATAAGGTGACAGAATTGCATAATTTAAGATTAGGGTGTAAAGCTATATCGAAGAGGTTGGATGTCCCAGTCAGCACTGCTGGATCAATAGTGAGGAAGTAGAAGCTGCATCACATCACCCAAGCACCATCTGGACAAGGACGACTCTCAAAAACAAGTCAGAGACTGGTGAGGGAAGCTACAGCGAGGCAAACAGTCAGTCTGGAGGAGTAATAGAGTACAAGGTAGCTGAGAATGGAGTGAAGGTACACCAGACAACCATTTCAAGAGCTCTTTTGACTTTGAAAATGTTCTTTATTGGTAGGGCTGCCGCAACTAATCGATGATTAAAATAATCGACAACGAGTTTCGTTATGGTTTAGTTGGGTCTGACGTCACTGTGGATAACCCCAGTTAGTGAAGTCGCTTCACAACGGTGAAAAACGCATTTCCATGAATAAAACACATCTGATAAACAGCGGAGGTCACAGAGCGAGCTGTTCCTGTGGGAAAAGGACACGATCCAGGTGTTTTATATTAAGCACTTCAAACAAACTCGTAAGTGTATTAACGTGGCTTGTCGTGTCAGACGCTACGACAGACGCGTGTGCTGTTTAATGTGTTCCGGACGTGTTTTCTTCAGCGCAGAAATTATATTTTAAACTTTACATCCTTATCTGTAAATGTTAGAAACTCATGCCAGTATTTCCATTTTAAATACATAAAGGCTCGTCCTGACAGCGAGCGAGTCTCCATTAAACTTCACTGAATGAGCGCGAGTCCACGCATATGCGTCAATCAAACAGCGTGCAATAGAAAGGAAGCACAATAACTCTGACTAAAATATTCATTTTGATCAAATATGCTGTCGGATGCTATATGTAGAGATATTTAGAATCCAGATTAATTGTTTTTTTATGAGCGCAGTAACTAATGGGGTTATAACGTGTAATTGTATAGAAATGTAAAAAGTGTCGTACATTTACAGAATAAAGGAACATGTTACTGTGTTCAGATGCGTGAATGTGTGCATTACTGCAGAACATTCAACCTCTTACCAGTTAACACTTAGTCTGTGCTTTTGTTTTTCTATTTTAGCCTTTTTAATATAGTGATTTTTCTTCTGCTTTAAAGCTTGTGGATAATCAGGGTTTTTTTTTCTTTGCATAGTGTATAGCAGAGCTCACATGGATGCATTTAATGCCTTTTCATAGCCTTCAGTTTGCACAATGTTTGAAGGACAACATTGGGCAGAATGTGAAATAGCATGTTTTTTTCGAAATTCAGAAAATAAAAAGTGGTCTTTTAATCCGATTAATCGAAGAAATAATCAATAATAATAATAATAATAATAATAAATAATAGTTGCAGCCCTACATGTTGGTTTGCAATGTAAAAATAAAATACTGGCGGGAACAATCTGAGTGTCGTTTATAATCCAGATGAATCTGATGACTTTATGGGGGTTGAATACGTTCTCAAGCCACTGTCTGCATCCTAAAAGTTATTACACATACTGTTCCAGCAGGCATTTATTGTTCCATTGATCTTTGGCTGCAGGTTAAGATATGTCTGTTTATGTTGGGGTTTTGGCGGGGGATGGGTGTTCTACATCATCATGGTCATGTTACACAGGTGCTTAGGTATTCATTCAGGATATTGACATTACCAAATTCACACCCACAATGCATGGGGAAGTTTTTCAGTAGCATGTAGATCACAAACATTTGCCTTTAAACCCAAAAAAGTTCAAAGAGAAAATATACTGACTGACTGAAGCAGATCATAGTTTTCCTTTGCGGTCACCTGCGGCACGATGGAACGCATAAAAGCAAGAAGCCGTTCAAAAGGAAGAAATGAAACGAAAGACTAATGCGATTTTATATATATTCCAGCCCTCATTATTCTGCTACTTATATAAGAGCACTACCTTTTTTTTATTTTTTTATTTTTTTTTGCATCATGAAAACCTGAAGCTTAGGCAGGTGTGTGGGGGGGGAATTTAAATAAATAAATAACTCCTTCATATATATATATATAAAAAATAAATAAAAAAAAATTGTTTTTTGTTGAGAGTTGCAGCAAGTGACTGGAAAGGCTGTGGAAATATTAATTTTGTATTGTATTCCTACAGGTAATCATGCACACAGTTTAATGTGTAATGCAATCATATGCACGGTTTAAAGGAGAACCTAAAATACACACTCCAGATTAAATATTGTAGTTGCATCAAACTCTCAGCCAACGTAGCAGGAATTAATACTGCTCCTCGCTATGCATCTCGCATAGCGAGATGTCTCGCATCGCAAAAAAAAATATCTCAGTTTAAGCTCATAATTGTTCGTATCTGAGACACTTCTGTATTTGGCAAGCATAGAATAACGTTCTAGGCTCGTTAACATAAATGGTCTGCACTTATATAGCGCTTTTATCCAAATCGTTTTACGCTGGTTCTCATTTACCCATTCAAACACACACTCGCACACCAATGGTAGCAGAGCTGTTATGCAAGCTGCTAACTTGCCATCGGGAGAAACTTGGGGTTCAGTGTCTTGCCCAAGAACACTTCGGTATGTGGAGTCATGTGGTCCAGGAATCGAACCGCCAACCCTATGATTAGTGGACAACCCACTCTACCACCTGAGCCACAGCCGCGCAACGCAATGCAAAGTCCTGCATTCAGTCACTGCTGGGATATGAACCCAGGATCTCCTGTTTAGGAGACAGACTCTTTAACCAACTAAGCCACAATGCCACATATTGTATAAAAGCATTTGAATTAGGCTTACGTTATTTTGGTTTTCACCTGCTTGCGATTTATTTTCATTTTTTTTTTAAATTGTGATAAACTATTTAATCATCCAGAATTAATAACCTAAAAAAGAGCATTTCCCCCAACATTTTCAGGTTTAAGGAGAGTAGGGAAGAGTGTAATAATATTACCAGCTGTGCAGTCGGGAGCTGCTTGCATGCAGTGGCAATCGTGAAAGTTCAGCCGGGCGATCAGGTGGTTTTAGAGCAAACTGTAAAAAAATAAATAAATAAACGAAAAGTAAGAGTACAATATAATCCTTTCACAAATCGATAGTCTAATGTCCACATGGCCGACATTTTTATCTCTCGATTTGCTGCTCAAAAAGTTTGAAGGAGTCTGAGCGCTGCTAGCGCTGCAATACCAACATATATAATTACTTTCTAATTATCTTCAGCATTATTTAAAGCGTGCCTAATTTTGTTTTAAAGGTCTCATAATGTATTTACATGCATCCAAGATCAAAAAACACTTTAATGTGCTGATCATTTAAACTGCAGCATTACCTTTTTCCCCAGTGTCGCAAAAGTTTCGTTCAATGATTCGTTCTAAAGGATTCTTTCTAAACTCCTCCTTTCAGAGAGCATACTCTGCTCTGATTGGTCAGACGTCCCAGTCTGTTGTGATTGGTCTAACGCTGTGTTTCCAAAAGGAAACGCCCACTACCGTAACGAGTTTCATCTCCCTCTGTCAGCGAGCAGCCGATGAAGACCAGAGGCAGGGCTTTTTATTACAAACCTATGTAAGTTAGTACAGGAAGTTGAAGTCCGGAATCAGTAACGACTCGTTTCAGCTGTTCAGAATCGGTTCATTCTTTAGGGAGTCAATAACTCAGTTGTCGTGCGCATTGATTTTTGAAACTTTGCAGACTTTTTACGTTCACAAATAGCTCTAAAACACGCTACATGAAAGGTAATATATGAAAAACCATAATAGGTGCACTTTAAGATGAAAAACGTCGACAGGTGTTTTTCCAACATTTTATTAATTAAATCTTTTTTTAGTAACGTTTTAGATTTGACACTTGGTTGTACGCCTTTTTAATTTTTTATTAGGTCACTACATTGTGGCTGGGAGCCAGTGTACCAGAGAGACGTTTTATCTTTCAATCTAGTTTCCCTCCTGCTCATTTATTGATCTTTGCATTAAGGCTGCTGTGCGTTTGATGCGGACGGAGGTCAAGTTCAGTTTCACTTATTCCATTTCTTTGCCGGTCACAGAACTGCCATTTTATCGCAGCCTTCGAGCAAATCTTTCACTTATTCCTTTATGTCTTATTCATCATCCCTGGTCTCGATATCGCGTCACACACACTTGATTTTCTGGGATTTAAATTCCCCAGCTTTGCTTGATCTCTCATCCTACTGGAAGAACTATTTGCAGGAACCTGACTCAATCGCCTTATTTTAAATAAATAATATCCGACCAAACACCGTTTAAAAATAAATAAATAAATAAATACATCACGTTTCTGCCAGTTATTTGTCACTTATACTATCCTCCCTTTTTGTTCTTTTATTCATTTTTTTCCCCCCGCTGCTTAATTTAGTTAGATGTCGCTTCCAGTGTAATGTAATACCATGCTGTACGTTGCCAGTTTGAAAGGCGTGAGACGAGCGGTTGTTCAGAATTAGGCTACATGCCAGCCTTGCAGCACTGCTTGGATCTCGGCGGAATGAGAAAATTAGTGGAGCTGAAATCTGATCCATATGGCCTCATACAATGCGAAAAAAGCCATTTTTTGTGTGTTTAGCGTGAAGATCTTAAAATCCTGAAGTCTTAAGAAATTCAAATCTGTATAATGTGTCTTTTGTTGCGTTTAGGTCAGGAGCGCTTTGGGAACATGACCCGAGTATACTATAAGGAGGCAGTGGGAGCATTCGTGGTGTTCGACGTGACAAGAAGCTCCACGTTCGAAGCCGTGTCGAAGTGGAAGTACGACTTGGACAGCAAGGTGAAACTCGCAAACGGCAACCCTATCCCGTCCGTCCTGCTGGCTAATAAATGTGACCAGAAGAAAGACAGCTCTAATAACGCCTCGCTAATGGACAACTTCTGCAAGGAGGCCGGCTTCCTGGGCTGGTTTGAGACATCAGCCAAGGTAACGCATCATATGCACAATCTAGACTTGAGCTCACAAGTTCGAATCCTGTCCATGGGAGCAAAACTGGCCATGTGATCTGGCTGGGAGGGGCAAACACTCTCTCCCCTGTCAATCACAGCAACGTTAGACAACCATAGGCTAGGGATTGGTGATATGGACTTAAAACTATATCACAATTTTCTCTGGTATTTTATTGCGATAACGATATCAGTGACGATATAAATATAGTACTATGCACCACTGTTTTTAGCTACAGGTGACCGATGTGATCTTGAGAGCCTCAGATGCATAAACCTTGATCTAAAAAAAAAACAAAAAAAAAAAACACTTTTTCTGTAACCAAATCTGTTCCAGATTGTGGAGGTAGCTCCTCGTTTAGCAATAAACTCCTCCTCAGCTTCACGTCAGCCGTCCGCTGTACCGTCGAACACAAATACGCCATCAACAAGGATTTATTATTATTATCGCGGGAAAACGATTTCTTATTGTGGGGAGAATTTCTACCGGTATATCGCAAACGATAAGATATCGCCCATCCCTACCGTAGGTGTCTGTCAGCTCATAAGGGCAGATAGCGCTTTCCTCCGAGTGTGTGATGCCGCGTGTGCATAAAATAAAAAATCAAATAAAAACTGTGCAGTGCTGGTGCTCCAGGATTACACGATTGTGAAAGACCCTTCACCTACTACAAGAATGATCCACAGTAAGCAGATCAAAGCTGTGTGAAATCAGCCATGCTAGACCCCATGTTTGAAATTCCAATCATATTTTCCAGAATTATGACTAAAATAGGACTTGTGCAGAGATTTTAACCAAAGCCGTTCTTCCACTTCAACATGGGTAATGATCTGAAAAATGCAGGAAATGTTTTGTAAAAATGTCCTGTTTATGTTACTAAACAAGAATGCTATGGAGTAGCTGAGAAAAAACAAATTTAGATTTAGCAAATTCATGCCATTTGTCCACCTGGACACTGGCATGTTTTTAGTCCTTTCTTTCTCAAGTTATCTGGACTGATTTTCAGAATGGTAATAAAAGTTAGCATTTTATCCATAACCGTTACTGCATCTGTTCACTGTACTGATAGAAGTGGAACTGGAACCTAAGTGCATTAGTAGGTATTAGTAGGTGGTAAGGTGCTACATTTCAAATATGTTAAATAAATTCAGACCGTACATGAAGTGACGTATAGTGTGTGGTTAAATATTATGATGGGACATGTATTTGTTTCATTTGTAATGGCTTTGTCAGGGAAACTAGTGTTTATGAGAAATTCTCCTAGTGTAGTGAGTGCGTGCAGGAGTGAGCAGGTGAGGTGAGTGCGGGAGGGACTGGGTGCAGGAGGGAGGGAGTGAGTGAGGTGAGGGAGGGAGGTGAGTGCGGGTGGGACTGGGTGCAGGAGGGAGTGAGTGAGGTGAGGGAGGGAGGGAGGGAGGTGAGTGCGGGTGGGACTGGGTGCAGGAGGGTGAGTGAGGTGAGTGCGGGACAGAGGGAGGGTGTGAGTGAGATGGGTGTGAGGGAGTGCGGGAGGGAGGTGTGTGCGGGTGGGACTGGGTGCAGGAGGGTGAGGTGAGGTGAGTGTGGGACAGAGGGAGGGAGTGAGTGAAATGGGTGTGAGGGAGTGCGGGAGGGAGGGAGGTGAGTGCGGGAGGGAGGGCATGAGGTGAGTGCGGGAGGGAGGGCGTGAGGTGGGTGAGGGCGGGAGGGAGTGAGGTGAGGCCGCAAGGGAGGGAGGGAGTGAGGTGAGCGCGGGTGGGAGGGAGTGAGCTGAGGGAGGGGTGAGCTGAGGGAGGGAGTGAGCTGAGGGAGGGAGTGCGAGCGGGAGATAGTGAGGTGAGTGCGGGCGGGCGGGAGGGAGTGAGGTGAGTGCGGGAGTGAGTGAGTGTGTGTGTGAGCGTAGCTGCGAGAGAGTGAGCGTGGGAGTGTGTGCCTCTTCTTGTTGCTTCTACAGTGATATGACTGACCCTGATTATGCTGCTGGTTAGGCTTGTGTTGATAGCCTGATTCTCCATAAATACTAAAACCTCTGAGGTTTTTCGTCCCAGTATATCAACATCACGTGACTTCACATGACTTAGCATGGCTATTTGAGCATGTGGCTGTTTGGGGGGTGGGGGGTGTTTTGTGTGTGTGTGTGTGTGTGTGTGTGTGTGTGTGTTTGTGTGTTTGCATGCGTCCATTGCCTGTGACGGAGTGTAGCTGTTTGACAGAAGGTGTCTCATCACCCAGTCTGCATAAACACATGCTCGGGAGCTAAAACTATCCATTAGGGATTCAGCCACACTGATGTCTGGCCTGAAGCTCCAGCACCTGTCGTGTGTGTGTGTGTGTGTGTGTGTGTGTGTGTGTGTGTGTGTGTGTGTGTGTGTGTGTATACAGATGTGTCATTCCTCATTTATCAGGACCTCCTTATGTTCTGTGATGCCTCATGTGTCCTAGCGGACGGCCGTACTACACACTCCACTTATACTCCTCCCCAATTTCTCTCACTCTCTCTTCCTCTCAGCTTTCTCTCTCTCTCTCTCTCTCTCTCTCTCTCTCTCTCTCTCTCTCTCCTCTCTCCAGAGACCTCAGCTGGCTTATTTTGTTTTGTTTGTTTTGCTCACTAAGCCTCGTTTTTCTCAATTATTGGAGAGGGAGCACAGCGGCGAGCGAAACAGGCAGAATAAAAAGGAAGAAGAAAACGTAAATATGGTGCAGTCACGGCTTGAGAATCAGGTCCGAGAGGTAGAATGTGTTCCTTTATTTAGGGTTTACGTATTGCAGCCTTGGCGTATGCGTATAGACGTCACACTCTGGATGCATTAAGACTAAATCTGTTTTTATTTATTTATTTATT